GACTGTGCGACGGGCGACCGTAGTGATTGTGCGAGCGTGACAGCCATATACAAGAATGGGTAGCTTGGGTTCATTGGACGAAATTCTATTTGCTCGGCGAGAGCAAATAGAATTTCGTCCAATGAACCCAAGAAAATATAGAGCAATTTACTAGAAAGAGTGATTTACACAAGTTCAATACAAGAAACAAAAATAAACTTGCCGTTCTAAATTTCAGACTGCACAAGATTGGTAATTCATTTATGGGGAAATGTATTAAACTTTTCAATAAATTACCACAAACTGTTGTAGAATTGCCCATTCATAAATTTAAAGCACCTTAATGAAAAAGGGCTACTATAAAGTTGATGATTATATAAAAGATAAAAATGTTTGGAATGTTTAACTACCTAGCTCGCATCAATACTTATGACTATAATATTTTAAAGACTGTAAACCCTTGAAAAGGAGGCTGACAATAGTGACTGAGTTTCTTGCGCTGCTTCTTCTCAGCACTGGCCCATTTATTGTCCCGAAGCAGTGGTAGGGTTAATATTGGGACGTGTGAAAGTGCTTTCTAAAAGCCTATTTGCAAAAATAAATGAATTTTATTAGTTATACCGGACTTTATTTCGGCAATTTTGGTGTTCTCCAATGAGGATCATTTCGATTTTTAGCTGTGAATGCAGATTTATAGGGCTAAGAAATCCTTAATACACAGTCCAAAAATTTTTGTTCTACGACAAAAATTGACGAAGNGACGCACAGTGCTGCTGGCCGAGCCCGCCGCCCACGCACAGGTGACGCACAGTGCTGCCGGCCGAGCCCGCCGCCCACGCACAGGTGACGCACAGTGCTGCCGGCCGAGCCCGCCGCCCACGCACAGGTGACGCACAGTGCTGCCGGCCGAGCCCGCCGCCCACGCACAGGTGACGCACAGTGCTGCCGGCCGAGCCCGCCGCCCACGCACAGGTGAGCGCACAGTGCTGCTGGCCGAGCCCGCCGCCCACGCACAGGTGACGCACAGGGAGGGTAGGGGCCGAGCACTGATCCGAGCGTGCGGCCACTCGCATATTCGGACTGAGCAGGGACCCCCCTCATCACTAGATCAGGACAATGCACTTAGGGGCGTCCCCACCGCTAAGTCAAAGTGCACAGGAGTGCCGCCCAACGCCAGGTGTAAGTAGTCATATCATTCAGATATGATGATTTCCAAGATTGGCTGATTGAAGCGGCCTGCCTGCGTCCAGTAAGTACCTTCCCGCAAACTTTTAATGGTCAGTTCTTAAAGAAATGCTGTGTATACCTACCTACCTGTATTTGAAATCATATGCATTATGTGTTAAACCATGTTAAAATGTATAAACTGTATGCGACTTTGTTTGTTTGTACCTAATAAATAAATAACTTTAAACCTTGTGAGTTGACGGTCGGGACTATTCCCACCTCTATTTCCCACCGCTGCAACTCCTGTGTAGCCAGGATCTACAGCTTGACCGCCAATAACACAACCAGTGAAGGTCAAGTTCGTCCTGGGGAAAGTTACGTTAATTTTTTTTTATTTTTTATTTTTAGGACAGTGGTTCTTAACCTTTAAGGCACGAGGGACCATTTTACCAAATTTCTGTCTTGTCAGGGATCACTTTTTTTTTTCAAAATCCTATGAAAGAATTTCTCGCCTACTGTGCGCCGTTTGCGTTGTGTTGACTCGACTCATCACGTCACGTCATTCACTTGTTTATTACGATGTCTTCGTGGACCACTTGGAATGCCTCCAGGGACCACCAGTGGTCCGCGGACCACCGGTTAAGAACCAATGTGTTAGGAAAACAAACAGCATTCTATAACACACACTTCACATTTGCACAGAGTTTATATATTTATTTATTTATTAATAAGGCCCTAAATTTAAGTCAAAACTCAAGCCTGTATTCGGAACGACTTAGGCACCGAACAAAATGAACAATTACTAAGTCCTTTATATTGTTCGGTGCTTAAACTCTTGACTCTATTCAATTGATTTTTGTTTTTACTAGTGTATAATTACCCTAACATTGCAAAAAGAAATGCTGTGTATACCTGTAATTGAGGTCATATACGTATCAAGTGTTAAACCATGTTAAAATGTATGAACTGTATTGTGTATGTGACTTTGTTGGTGTACCTAATAAATAAATAAATAATAAATAAAAGGCATACCAACAACAAAACAAAGAGTTTTCACAAATAGTTGTTACATGATATATTATATCATGTTAATTGATATTGTCTGCAATAACGCTTGTCCCGCAGAGCCACGCGATGGCGGCGCGGCTGAGCGCGGCGGGCGTGCCGGTGACGGTGGTGCCGGCCGCCTCCGTGGCCGCCGTCATGTCGCGCGTCAACAAGGTACGCATGTACTACATCTATTGTTTAAGGATTTCTCTTTTATCATAGGTTCAAAGTATTCTATATTTCTTAGGGATCTCTCTCGTCCCATCATGGGGCCAAATATTTACTAAAATTAACTAGATTTTTCATGATATTCATCATTTATAGCATGGCATAATTACTTACATTACTTCTTGTACTGCTTTTTCTTAATATTGGCCCACACAGAAAAAGTTCTGCACTATTTTTATTGTCATTAAGGACTGATTATGTTAAAAAAAAAGTACTACGCTGTTAGTTCCAATTTTCATTCATAGATGGCGTTAATCCAATATTTTTCATATCTGGTTATTAAAGTTTTTATCAGCCCACGGAAGATCTCTTATTCTATGCGTGTATTATGAGTGTGTGAATGAGTCATATTTTGACAGCTCATAAAAAGTATGTCCTCCGTGGTTGAGGATTCCGGGTGAAGCTCGCTTCCACCTTCGGCCTGGTCATCACTTACCATCAGGTGAGATACAGGCCAAGAGCTTGAGTTTATCCTCGTGTTTGCAGGTGATCCTGAGCGTGCACGCTACGCTATCAGGAGGTGCCGTGCTGGCGCCCGCGGGCTCGCACGCCGTCGCCGCCGCCGCCAAACACTACAGCGTGCCGGTGAGTGGATGTTGCTGTTGACAATAACTGTTAACGCTTGACACTGACTCTCAACGACTGTCACATACTGATAAAGACCTCCAACACTGAACCAATTAACCCACGAACCTAGCTATGACATTATCAGGAGGACCTTTCTATCAATGCTAGGTTATTACTTTTTGATATTTGCCACTTGACGTTTCAAAATCGCTTGACTATAACTACCGTCACTAATTACTGTCGACAATTAGGCCGTCAGTTACTACAAATGACAGTTTTCAGTTTGCAATCTTACTGTTTTATCATGCAGTGTCTAAAGTGATAAGAGGTCCTCTTACAAACGCTTGATTCTATTTTTTAAGTTACTTGTGCCTTCTGGCTGTGTAATATGTATATTTTACTCTTTCTTCCATTGAACATCGGTATTTCGCTGGCTACGGGGCAGGTGATCGCGCTGTCCCCGCTGTACAAGCTGAGCCCGCTGCACGAGTGCGAGCGAAGCCGGCTCACCGCCGCCGGCGCGCCGAGACACGTGCTGCCCTACGAGTGAGTACACACAGTCCGCTGTACAAGCTGCCCTACGAGTGAGTACACAGTCCGCTGTACAAGCTGCCCTACGAGTGAGTACACAGTCCGCTGTACAAGCTGCCCTACGAGTGAGTACACAGTCCGCTGTACAAGCTGCCCTACGAGTGAGTACACAGTCCGCTGTACAAGCTGCCCTACGAGTGAGTACACAGTCCGCTGTACAAGCTGCCCTACGAGTGAGTATACACGGTCCGCTGTACAAGCTGCCCTAAGAGTGAGTACACAGTCCGCTGTACAAGCTGCCCTACGAGTGAGTACACAGTCCGCTGTACAAGCTGCCCTACGAGTGAGTACACACGGTCCGCTGTCGCTGTTCGCGCTGCTACATCAGCGCCACCACCGGCGACACTAGCGCCCCCTATCATAATCAAACATGATCTATAGAAAGAGGTCTATGGAGCCGAGAGAATTTTTTGTCTATGCGACGACCGCCAACCGAAGCGTCGCTTCCATTTTTTTACCGCCAACAAGAAAGGCTTTATTTTTTGTAATGTACCTAATAATATTGTTTAAACCGAAGTAAAACCCAATGTTCACCGAAGAATGGCTTATTATTAAAAAGGCCCCTAATTTCAAGATCCTACAAACTACAAACCTAAGCTCCAACAGTCGCAATAAATAGGCNAACAATCGCCCGGAACATTGTACCCTACTCCGGTGTCGCCATCTACCGGAAAATTGCTGTCAAACTTTAGAAATTTTTTGATCGCAACAAAATGGCCGACAGCTCAGCCGCCATCTTGTTTTTTGATAATCTGTAAATGTGGCCTTGAAGCAGACTATATAAGTCACAAATACTCAAAAGAAATTTTCAAAAACAATTGCGCATCTCGGAGTGACACCTCCCTAAAAACACCTCGAAATCGCATTTTCAATCCAAGATGGCGGCGCGGCCATTTTGTTTTTTTAATTTTTTCTCAATTTTTTTAACACATCTTGGCAACCAAAATAAACTCCCAAAAAGGAAAAAATTCAGGATGAAAAACAAAAAAGTTGTTGTCTCAAAAAATGCCGCCATTTTGTTTTTTGGTTCAAAAAATCTAAAAAACCTGGGTGTCAAAAAATCTAGTAAAAAACAAACACTAACAATAATAATAAAATCATTTATTTGCAAGAACATGGTTAGATTGGTGTTAATTTAGTTAATTCCAGCATATTCTGTCGCATGCGACGTGCAAAAGTTTTTGTTCTTAAAGTTATGTTAATTGCTGTCGCGACTGTGCGACGGGCGACCGTAGTGATTGTGCGAGCGTGACAGCAATATAATTACACGCGAGTGACAAGGATGGGTAGCTTGGGTTCATTGGACGAAATTCTATCTGCTCGGCGACCGGACTTTATCTCGGCAATTTTGGTGTTCTCCAAGGAAGCATTGGGCGTGTCTTGCTGCCATTTTTTTATGATTCCTCGCCCGTTGACTCCAGGTGCGCGCGGAACTGGAATCGAGCACGGGCGCGATCTGCGCGCAGGCCGGCTCGCACGTGCACGCCGACGAGCTCATCCTCACGTGCGGCCACGCGCGCCTGCTCGAGCGCTTCCTGCGCGCCGCCGCAGCGCGCCGCAACTACCGCCTGCTGCTGGCCGAGCCCGCCGCCCACGCACAGGTGAGCGCACAGCGGCCGACGACGCACAGGTGACGCACAGCGCCCGCCGCGACTACCGCCTGCTGCTGGCCGAGCCTGCCGACCACGCACAGGTGACGCACAGTGCTGCTGGCCGAGCCCGCCGCCCACGCACAGGTGACGCACAGCGGGAGCAGGGGACCGAGCACTGGTCCGAGCGTACCAGACTTAAATACATTGATCGCCATCGCTACACGCCGGCTGATCGCGTGTGATCGCGCTGGTTAGGCCGAACCTTAAAGAGGTGTGAGTGCGAGTAGGGGCGCCCTCGTCGCTCGGTCAGAGCGCGTAGAGACGCCCCCATCGCTAGGTTGGAGAGCGCAGGAGCGTCCCTCATCGCTAGGTCAGTACGAGCAGAGGCACCTTCATCGCTAGGTCAGTACGAGTAGAGGCACTACAAGCATTGTTTGTGAATACCGGCAAATAAGTCCCCGCCGAGTACTATCATAGGGACGAAGTACCAATTGATATGATCCTTCAATTCAAATCACTTACTTTTCAATAAAATATTCAACTAGTCGTGAGTCTTTCACAATAACGCTTGTCCCGCAGAGCCACGCGATGGCGGCGCGGCTGAGCGCGGCGGGCGTGCCGGTGACGGTGGTGCCGGCCGCCTCCGTGGCCGCCGTCATGTCGCGCGTCAACAAGGTAAATAATTTATTTATTTACACACACACACATTTACTATTTTCACAGGATATAATGTGGGAGTTTGGCAGAAAACAGCGCTTAATCGCTCCAGCAGTTTGCTAGAGAAGAACTACGCTGAACTGTCCTTTATTTGACAGTGACAGTAGGGCGCCACTGTCTTCGTTCAACTACATGGTTTCCACCGTGGCAAAAGTCGGAACCAGCGATTCGCTATTGACGGTCGCGGTGGCCCCCTGTTAGTGTCAAATTAAGGACAGTTCAGTGTAGTTCTTCTGTAATTGCTTACCGCTTAGCGATCGCCATTTTGCTTATAAGCGCTTCCAAGAATTTTTTTCCGACAAAAGCCTCCAATTTTTTACTTTTTCTCACGTCAAAAATGGGAGTAGTTTTTAATTTGGTTGATTTTTTTTTGCTCATTTCCGAATCGAATTTTATCAAATTGGTATCAATTTCTTTAAAAAATAGTTACGTAATCTTTGAACTGAAATATTTAAGAATCCGAGTTAATTAAAGGCTACCGTAATGAGTCAGTAGTTGTATTTGTCCGCTAGTGAGTGCAAATGTGACAGCCTTCCAGTTGGCGCCACGATTTTAGCCACTAATGAGTGACGAGACCTTAACAGACGTCAACCAATTTGCTTTCCTGTGACTTTTTAACCATGTTTATATGACTATGACTGTATTTTAGTGACCACTAGACTAAATTTATTTATTTAACACGTTGGACGCCACGCGGCTCACCGGTGAGCCTCGAACAATACAATTTCCATTGTGTCTAGCGTCTCGGCGTTCAATGACTTAAAGGTACAACCACAGAATACAATTCAATAAAATTACAATGATAACTAGGTTTCACATTTAAATTATATTCCTATGAATATTGCACACATCATTTACATAAGAATAATTAAGATATAGAGCTTGAACAGAAGTGGAATTGTGTAAAGCAATCGTAATCATTTGACAGTTCATAACGTACGATTATTCTGTCAAACGCTTTGTTTAACTGACTTTATCGTACGGTAGGAACTGTCAAATAATTATGATTGCTTTACACAATTCCACCCCAGGTTAAATACTACGGCTACGAAATAATAAATACACTTGATCTTTCTTCCTTCTTTATCTTCTTTTTCAATCATTGCATTGCAGGTGATCCTGAGCGTGCACGCCACATTATCAGGAGGGGCTGTGCTGGCGCCCGCGGGCTCGCACGCCGTCGCTGCCGCCGCTAAACACTACAGCGTGCCGGTGAGTCCAAATACGACTGACAACCAGTGTCGTGCGTCTCGATTTATACTGAACGGACGCCTTTTTGGCATGAAACTACCAACTGTCAACGGCTATCACTAACTGTCAACGACTGTCCCTAACTATCACCCACTGACACCAATGGTACCACACTACGTAGATTTTAGTTGACAATCTTACTGAGCTTCCACTGCTTGTCTATCATATTGCTTTTATAATCTTTATTTATCCAGTTTATCACGCAGCATCCAACATGCTAAGAAGCCCTCTAGCACGCAACTTGATTATTTGTTAGTGTTTATATCTTTCTGTCCGATTGATAACATCTATTTCATAGACAAAATAATGATATGATTTTCAGGTCGTAACATACCCTTTGTGTGTGAGCTGAATCGCACTTGTTCATTTTTTTAAAAGTTACTTGTGCATCCTCTGTATAATAAAATGGTTTCTTTTTTGAAAACCCCAGGTGATCGCGCTGTCCCCGCTGTACAAGCTGAGCCCGCTGCACGAGTGCGAGCGACGACAGCTCACCGCCGCCGGCGCGCCGCGCCACGTGCTGCCCTACGAGTGAGTACACACGGTCCACTGTCGCAATAGGCTAGTTTCCTAAAAAAATATTTTTAGTCCGTCAATAATAGTCTAAAAAAATTATGGACACGTATATTTTAATTGTCAATCAAACAAATAATTACAAAGTTATAATGCGTTGAAGTTCCGCGCGACGTCACAAAGTGCTGCATTTTTACGCACTCACTGACGTCACGGGCCTTTTCTTTAGAACTTTGACACGCTTTATCTCTTTACATTTTCATTAGTTTTAAAAAGTGAAAAATACGTGTTGAGTAGTTTTTGATAAGCTAACTGACGGACTAATTAAAACTCTTGCTTTTTTACCCAGGAAACATCCCTATTGTTCATTTTAACAAAAGGATGTCTACTGCTGGATAAAGGATACCCCTAATAAGAATTACGATCCGTCCTACACTGCCTGTATCCAAATGCTTCAGATGACTTTTACTAGATCTTCGGTCCACCGAATGGGAAACATGCTGTAGGCATTCGTTCTGGGTCTTCTTTGGTCGACATACGCTAATAAATCAATAAAAATTCAATTNGTTGATACTGACGGCTTTGTGAGTTTACATCAATTATTACTAAATCCTTTATATTGTTTGGTGCTTAAACTCTAGACTCTATTCAATTGATTTTTGTTTTTACTAGTGTATAATTACCCTAACATTGCAAAAAGAAATGCTGTGTATACCTGTAATTGAGGTCATATACGTATCATGTGTTAAACCATGTTAAAATGTATGAACTGTATTATGTATGTGACTTTGTTGGTGTACCTAATAAATAAATAAATAAATCAAACGTCGTCATTAGCGAGCGTGTTAAAAAATATATGAAGATTTTAGTTCTTGAAAGTTTCCGCTAGGGGTGCTGTACAATCCTTCAATGTCATAATTTAAATGTCACTTTTTTACGCAGTCAATATCTAATGCGTTTGACGTAAACTTACAATATAGATGATCCTCGCTGAACTGTCCCACCAAACTCAATGACAGGGGGGCGCTACCATCGTTCAACTATATGGTTTCCAACATGGCAAAAATCGGAACCAGCGATCCGGTATTGACGGTGGCGCCCCGCTGTCAATGTCATGGATAGGACAGTTCAGTATTTTGGAACTATACATACACCCCTGATGTGGTATCTCTGACAAACTTCAATGGTTTCTTTTGTAAGATGCTGTATTGTTGTTGAATTCCGAGGGTAGTTAGTGATTGTGTCGTCACATTCCAGGTGCGCGGAGACCGGCAGTGCGCACGTGATCGCGCCGCGCTGCGACTACCTGCGGCCCGACCACATCTCGCTGTTCATCACCAGCCTGTGAGTACGCGCACAGAATAATAATAAGTACTACGTACAGAAGTTTTACTTCGCGAAGGTATTTAAAAAAATGTATGCCCAATGTCATTAACAATATGGTGTAATTTAGCCTGTCTCAAGAGTCAAGCACCATTTTGTTGACAAACGTCAGTGATCGGCACTGCGCCGAAGCTGTAGGGCTGACTTCGGTAAAATGATGTGACGTGAGGTGCCAAACTGCGGAAAATGGCGGAGGAATACATGATTTTCAATGAATTATCATGAATAATATTAACTACTAGCTGACCCGGCGAACTTTGTTCCGCCTTAATGGCAATAAATAAGCATACTTTTTTTTAAATTTCGAACGGGATAAAAAGTATCCTATGTCCTTCTCCTGGCTCTAAACTACCTCCCTGACAATTTTCAGCTAAATCGGTTCAGCCGTTCTTGAGTTATAAGTGGTGTAACTAACACGAATTTCTTTTATTATAGACGCCATCTTTCAAATAAATAAGAAACATAACTTATAGTACGAGAGGAAAGATACCAAGTTACTTGAACTAAAATAAGCTCCATGGCACACGTTCAGAACTAGTGCTAAGCTTGGAATAATTAATTAATAAACTCCGATTTGGCCGAAAGTATAAAAAATGGCTATTTCCGGTGAAAAATGACGTGAAGCAGTGACCTGCTTTTTTTTTCACCGGAAATAGCCATTTTTTGTACCTTCGGCCAAATCAGAGTTACATCATCATCATCAGAGTTTGATTTAATTATTCCAAGCTCAATTTTACGGTCCCCTCTCGGATTATTAGGATGATTATTGTGATGATGATGTCTTTGAATTGAACTATGTGATACTATTTTGCACCCCTTCTCTAATTACGGACTACTATGCCGAGAGTCGGCCGTTTGGTGTAGTGGTTCAGAACGGACTACTATGCCGAGAGGTCCCGGCCGGGTTCGATTCCCGGCCGGGCAGAAATTGAAATGATGAATTTTAATTTCTGTGACGGGTCTGGGTGTGACTATGTATAATATTTATGTATTTAAAAAAAAAAGTATATGTATAAGTAGTATATCCGTTAAGCTAGCACCCATAACACAAGCATTAAGTTGCTTACTTTGGGGCTAGCTGGCGCTGTGTGAAATTGTCCAAAGATTAAAAAAAAAATAAATATGTAATTAGTAATTAAATAATGTGTATGATATTATGAACACGTAAGTGATTATGGTGTAATTGTGTATGAAAGTGTTTGTTTACATCTCTGCTGGATTCTAAAAAATCAAGGTATAACTTATAGTACGAGAGGAAACATACCCTACGTCACTTGAACTAAAATAAGCTCCATGGCACACGTTCAGAAAAGTTGTGCTAAGCTTGGAATAATTAATTAATAAACTCCGATTTGGCCGAAAGTATAAAAAATGGCGATTTCCGGTGAAAAATGACGTGAGCAGTGACCTGGTTTTTTTTCACCGGAAATAGCCATTTTTTGTACCTTCGGCCAAATCAGAGTTACATCATCATCATCAGAGTTTGATTTAATTATTCCAAGCTCAATTTTACGATCCCCTCTCGGATTATTAGGATGATTATTGTGATGATGATGTCTTTGAATTGAACTATGTGTTACTATTTTGCACCCCTTCTCTAATTCTTTGTTTGGCCTAAAGGCTAACTGGTAGAGAATGCCACACGGCATTAAGTTTAAGAGGCCTGTCTCCTTAAACGTCATAATACAGGAGTGCTAGATTATCGTCAAATTTTGAAAATTAGTTGTAGTGATGTAACCATACTTTAGGGAGGATTTTTCAAAATAGTCTGTGCTATAGTGCAACATCAATTTTCTTTTCAAATCGCAACCATTACTCTTATGCCCGTTTTCAACATCAATCCCTAATTTTTAGGTGACCCCTATGTAAACAAAATTCCTGTTATTTGTTTTAAAATTGTTACCATAGGGGTCTCTTAAAAATTAGGGATTGATGGTGAAAACAGGCATTAGACTGAGTGGCACCACCTAAATTTAAAGGTAACTATAACGATAACCGGTGCTTTTTGTATGGAATTTGATAAATTTTTGACGTTTGAAAAGTTAAAATAAGATGGTGCCTTATTGAAAGTAATCCGAACATTATGTTCTATCTAGGCTGTTTTATAAAGTAATTTTATTCTTCTTCTTAATATTTTTTCCACAGAGGTGGCAGTTCACCGTCCTACGTGTATCGACTGTTGTCGGAGCTGTATGACCCTGAGGACCACCAGATATAACCGCTGGTCTGCCGCTACAGGAGAGATGGGACACAATAATTCGTTTATTTTCGTTATTTTTGAAGTTTCTTAACAGATTCTTTAAATTCTTCTTCTACTTACGCCAATCTATTATGCCTTATAGTTTGTAATTACATTTTGTATAAGAAAAATTGAATTTCTATCAAGTATTGTTCGAATTCTGATTCTCTTTTGTAAGAAACAAAGACATGATTGTATAAAAATGGTACCTATGTAAATAAATATAAATGCTTTTAATATAAGTTTTGTTTTATTTCATGTCCAGTGCAATACTTAACTACCTTCATAAAATTTCACGATGTCCGCAAGGGACTAATAATTTAAAATTAGTTTCACAAATGTGTTCCATCCTCTTTCTGAAAATAAACCAACATAAAAGATATCCACGGAAGCCTAAAAATAACGCGGTTTAAATATAAACGTGCCTCACAGAGGGCGATAATGTTCTACAAACATCTGAGCCCTATCAGCGAGGGTGGCGTAATCTAAATATTTAAGCGTAGATAAATTATGCGCCATTTTGTGCCACTGCAGACCTGGCGCCAACTTATCGCGGGCCGATGGAGAGGGGAACTAATGTCCTCTCTGGTCGTACATTGCCAAATATCTTGGGCTTACGGGACCTCCGGAGCCACCCACCCAAAATAATCAAACAAACATTGTCATACGCCATCACTTTCTAGCCCACAAATCGGAGAGAGACAAAACATTCATCAAGCAATCAGTGGCCAACTTCACACTGCACTTAGCGCGTCATGTTGGCTGCATTATAATAACAATGGGCGGGGTCCCCTGCACGAGCAGCGATACAGCGCTGCTCAATAATGAATGGGGAATGACGTGCAGCGCACCTGAATGCTTAACTCCGCTGTGTTCAGCGGTAAAGCGCTGAGCGCTGCGTGGGGGACGAGTTGTGTAAACTTTTTTATGGGCTTACGTATCGGTCGTCCGGACTGAGCACATAGCGTTACGTTATTATCTTGAGTTTTTTCACAATTTTCACTTATTTCAGTTGTTTTACGTTAAAATTTCGTTGGAAAAGACTATTCCTTGGACTTGGAAATACTTTTGTGTTGGAATGGACCTGTGTGACGGTGCGGATCGACGATTGCGAGATTATCGTCTGATTCACATTAATTATGTGAACGGTGACGAACCATTTTAAGTGCGCGATAACACGCCCTCCTCGTTCTCATCAATCCTCTGATGATTTTCTCGTCGCAAAAGAGAATCGCTTATCATTTCATGCGACGCTAATATAAAATCAATACTCGTGGACAGTGATCCTGTGATGCAATCTTGGCAGCTTGCGTTAATTTAGAAAAACATTTCGATGCTAAATAAATGTTTTCGCAAAGTAAACTGACGCAAATCATTATTTAAAATCTGATTAAAATAATTATTGACCTGTGAAGCGCTTCGGCGCTAAATTTTGAACGTGCTTCCGAAATACGCCGCTAGAGCGCGCACATTCCGCTCCGTGACGTTGCCGCGCTTGCGTGCGTGCGTCAGTTCGCGCGAGCTTCGCTTCGCTGCAGTTGTCTCCAAAATATTTTCGTAGGGCTCCGTCGGGCTCCGAGGAGTTGGGATCGGTGGTCTCGTGGTGTTGAAGTGCTGGTGTCGTGTGTGTTGTGTTGTGTGATCGCTGGCCCGAGCGGAGCGGGCGAGGCCTGGGCTGTGCGCAGATCGATAGGAGGATGGCGCACCTAACATGAGTCAAGGAGGATCACGGAGGCCGTACTCCCGCGGGGGCCCGCGGTGGCACCCTCGCTACAAGGAGTACTGGGACTACGAGCAGAACTACAGGTTGGTTACACGCGTGTGTTGCGACGTTGGCGTTTTCTCCGCGTTGCATAAAACTCCTACATTGTATTTTCACGTAACGACCGAGATTTACGCCTGTCTTTTGCGAGCGATGCGTTTTCGCTGGTTTTCTAATCATCGCCACGTAATTTTTATTACACCGGTTGCATAATCTCCATACTCATCATCGCAATAAGTGGGAATAAATTAAATTAAGTATGCAAAAGTACCCTCCACAAAAAAATCTAATTATTTAATTAAAAATATCATATTTATTATCTGCTATCAAAACTTTGATCGTAAATAAACAACCTGGAATCCTTTTGATTCTAATTAGAAAATTATTTATTTATCAAAGTATGGATAATTTTCAAAAATACTTTAAAATGCATAAAAATAACAAAAATGATGCCGCAATATTGATAACAATGTCAGGGAAAATTCTGTAAATCTGTGCAGTTGCTAACATAAATAAAATTCCCATACTAGTGTCTAATAACTTTTCCTCGTAAAATACCCATGGTTGAGGCTGGATTCTGATCAGTGAACGAGTCATGAACTAGCTCACTTCTACTAAAGGCTGTAATAATAATAACAATAAGCCTTTTTATTCTGAACTTGGTTACATAATATGTTAAATAATAAGATCTGTGTTATAAAATATCCCGAAGCTCAGTTTGCCTCTTGGCATAGGCCTCCTCCAACGATTTCCATTGGGATCTGTCACGTGCTACCCTCTTTCGAAAAGGCTGTAACTTGTTGCTTAATTTTTAGCATTGTGGAATCCCAGGTTGTCTGTTTTGTGTAAATGAAATTATGTTTTAAGTCAGTTGCGCTGCGTAACCTACCTTATGTAAGTGCGTAGAAAATTACACACAAATTACTCATTTGATATTGAAAAAATTACTTAAACGCATGAAGGTATTAATTTATTTATAAATATTAGAATGTTATGAAGTTAGATTTTTTTAAATAACACTAAATCACACTAGTCATGCACTATCTCATTATTGTTTAAATTCCAAATCTGAAGCCTCTCATTTGAATTGTGGGTAGGCAGATAGTTGGATTGAAATCTTTCAGGTGAACAGGCTTAGTATTTTTATAGCACATGCATGAGTGATATTTTACTTACCCTGTCAATCCTGTCATACACTATCTTTGATTTCCACATGAAGTAGTGTTGATTCAACACTCTTGATAAACCAAAGAGTCATTACTTATACCCTGTAAATTAGTAAATAAGTTGCTATTCTGATGTGTCAACTAGATTACTGAAATGTTTATCAAAATCTGCTTAGTCACTTGCGTGAAGAAGTAACAAACAGCCGTTGTTTTCAAGCTAGTTCTAGTAAGATGTTGTCCATCTCAATACCCTCTAAAATAGTACACAAGTTGTTATTCTGATATGTCAACTAGACAGAAAGCTTTATCAGAATCCACTTAGTCACTCTTGCTTGAAAGAGTAACACAAATAGCTGTTGTTGCAAGCTTTTGTGCAATATCAGTAGGAACGCCACTCTTGTAGCAGAGTTTTGCGCTGATACTGTGTAGGTGATAGTTAGTGTAAGACGCGCCCCACCATTCTTCCGCTAATGTTTGAGTGTTATCGGTACACGCTAAATTATCCATGAGTGCACACGCACACTACAATAATGACGCTCGGATTGCTCGGATCAAACTCCCCGCACCCCGCGCGACCGAGACCAAAAATTGGTGGGGCGCGTCTTCGGCGAAGACTACCTACGTTTCATCCACGAAGACTCTTCGTGGATGAAACGAACTATAGGCTGGTCCTTGAGCACGTAGAATTTTGTCCAATGACCCCTAGCTACCCATCCTTATCGCTCGCGCGTAATTATATTGCTGTCGCGACTGTGCGACTGGCACCCACAGTGAGCGTGCACGGACCGGGCTTTATAGTAGTAGGTAGGTAGGACTAGAAGAAGTAGTAGGATATTATAGGAGTATCTAGTTAGAGGTGTCCCATTCGCACCAGAAGCAGAAAAATCAAGTGAGCGCGAGGGCGGCGTCCGCGCAGGTAGCGACCTTCGGGTTCAACGCTCTCGGCCTAAATATATACACGCGGATGCGCCGGCTGCGGCCCGCCATTCCCGACCTTGTGTCCCCGACATAAGGCCGCAGTCAGGAAACGGCTCACGCAGTCGTTTGTTTTTTGTGTCCGTAGCGACTCTCATGCATGACACTGCGCAGGGTATAGGACGGCGTCCGGTGAGGGAATGGAGGTCGCAAAAAACGGGGATATTACTAGGAAGTGGGGGTCATGCGTGATAAATTAATTATACGGGCGCAATGTAGTAGGTATACTAGGTGGACCGACGATCTGTAGGTGTAGGATCCGCGCCGCGATTAGCGGTTATCACGCCATTTTATCTATTTTGCATTTTGACGTCGATAAAGAGTAATTATATCACGGCGCGCATCCTAGCCTGGCTGGTGAAGGTCGCGGGAGGTGCCTGAATGCGGGCGGCGCAGGATCGGTCTTTGTTGAAATCCTTGGTGGGAGGCCTTTGTCCAGCAGTGGACGTCATTCTGCTGAAACGAACGAATATAGTAGTAGTAGCGTCAAATATTTCGTGACACCCAAAGTAGCCATAAAGTCCGCAACACGTCTTTGGAATGCCTAAGGTTGTGTTATCAATTTTTTAGCCACTTTGAGTGACACGAACTATTTGACGTTGAATGTATCTGGTCACTGACAGATCATACTGTAGATTTTTGTCGCAAAATAGACCCTATTACAACTGCATAGGTGACACAGTGTCGAGCATGAAGTGCCGTCATGCGTGCTTTAGCAGGATCGTTTATAATTGGATGTGAGTCACACTCGTAAATGCAAATTTAGAGGAAGATAGTAAGGTTGAACGCCTCCGTTAGGTCTACTAGTTTGATTCCCAAGTGGGAAACACATTAAAAATTTACCTCAGCATTTAATGGCTAATGAATAAGCTCGTAGAACTGATGGCCGTAGGGTCAGAAAAGTTCTCGAGTGGCGACTATAGAGACCGGAAACATAGTGTGGACACGCCTTGTAGTCGGTGGTCTGACGAATTAGTAAAGATCGCGAGAAGAACCTGAATGCGGGTAACGCTGTGCCGGTTGTTATGGAAATCTTTGGGGGCAGGTTTTTCTCTAGCTGTCGTCCTTTGGCTGCTTAGATTTGACAAAGTACATGTTAGTTGTCTATTTGTCATAGGAGCATACAAAACCGTCATACACATTGGTGTATTGACTCCAACAAACCAAGGCTAACCTTGATGCAAATATGAATCCCATNCGCAGTGACCTTGATCACTTACCACACTGCTAAGGTACAATTTAGATTTGCTCAGTATACAATGTTTGTTACTGTTGGATCTTTTATTTCAAGCTACCTATGAAATCATGTTGCACAAAACACCTTAATGTTTTATAGATCAACTAGCTTTCCGACCGCGGCTTCGCCCGCGTGGAATTTTGTTTGTGACAGAAAAACTTTACTCCCGCGCGTCCCTGTTTTAAAAACCGAGATAAAAACTATCCTAATAGCAAAAATTCACAGACTGATCAATTTCGCTGGTGTTGTGTGGATCTCAAATGCATTATTTTTTTAATTTATTTTTTAAATCAAATCAAAAATATTTTTATTGAGCCATCCATTATTCTTACTAACTAATCAACATGTTGTTGCCACGTAACGCGTAGTACTTACACAAGCGAAGCTTACACCTGGGCAAACACATCCTAAGCCCACAAGATGTAAAACATAATATCGCCCCCCAAAAGATACTGCACTACCTAGATGCAGGAATCGGTGGCGAACTGTAAGGAAAATAGCGGCGATCATAATAGATCTGTACGGTCGCAGTGATACTAGGACTTTATTGATAGCCGCTCAACACAAATAAAAAAAATACGTGTAGTATACTTCTGCATAATAAATTGTTATATAACAACGTAACGATAAGCCATAACCGGGGGCAGATAAGNTACTAACTAACTACTAGCAGGCCTCCGTCACTCGCCTATGCCGGCCGAGATAATTACCTACAGCGCGCGACAACTTCAAGTTGCAAATCAGTCCGGGCCGCCACGCGCCTGTTTGCACACGCGTATTTCTATACACGCTCGGTCGATCATCGTCGCAATCAAGGTTTATTGTTCCAACAGCACTGTTATTCTTCTTTAATGCAAAATTGGAATATTTAGGAATAATAATTAACTGTAGTGATTTAAATAATAAAAAAATTATTTTGAAATACTTATGACAAAAAACTATAGCAAAAAAATTATTTTAGCTAATAAAAACATTAACTTTACTTCAACGTGTCTATTTTCCGACACTACACCTTTTAAAACTGTTTAATTTCGAATTATCGCAACACTGAAGTTTATTAATAGGTACATTAGAGATGGTACGATTATACAAACTCCACTAGATTAAAGTTTTCTAATCGTAAATACAATAAATGCTTCTTAAAATTAAGTTTTTATTTATTTTACTTTGCTCATACAACCCTGACGCTTGAGCGGTGACGTAGATCAATTCTAAACACAAAAAAAAATGCGCTCTTGTGAGCGTAGTAGTAAGGTGCAATTTCGAATGCACCATGTGCGTTGGATATTTTGCATAATTATTATTACCGTTAAAATTCCGGCATCTGATCCTACACAAAGGAGTGCAATTTCTGTAGCTACTATTATGTATTCTGTGCTACTAGGAAGTGGAGGTCATGCGTGATAAATTATACGGGCGCAATGTAGTAGGTACCACTAGGTGGACCGACGATCTGTAGATCTAGGATGCGCGCCGCGATTAGCGGTTATCACGCAATTTTATCGATTTTGCACATACATTTTGACGTCTATAAAAGTATATCACGGCGCGCATTCTAGCCGGGATACTACTAGGAAGTGGGGGTCATGCATGCGTGATATACGGGCGCAATGTAGAGTTACTACCAGGTGGACCGACGATCTGGTGAAGGTCGCTGGAGGTGCCT